AGATATATAGATATACAGATATAAAGATATACAGTTATATATAATTTAAGATAAAATTTTCAAATACTGATTATTACTGTATTAGTGTAAAAAGAAATATAGCAGATCATGAGCACAAGCATAATCAATAAGTAAAATGTTTATCAGAAGATCACTGCCAACATTAAACTTATATGAAAATGATCAACAGCTTGCTAAAAAAAAAGTAAAAAGAGTTAATTTAATATTAAAATTTTGACAATAAAAAAATAAAAAAATTGTAAATAGAATTATAAATTAATAGAAAAAATATAATAAAATGCCAATCTTGGGAACTACATAAACATTCTAGACTATATTTTGTCATAATGATCTTTTAAATATTTATAAACACTCTACACTTAATCGAAAAAGTGAATTACTACGTAAATTATTTTTGCTTTATCATAATTTTTAGATTTGATAATATCATCCAAAGTCAATTATGAGATAACCGATATTATTTGATTTTTGCTTTTAAAACTGTATGTGCTTGCAATAATCTAAGAACTGAATGTCTTAGGTATGATCAAATTTAAAATTGAACATGATATTGTAACTAAGAGTGATTTAGGAGAAGTTAATATAAAACATGTATTTAAAGATTCTGAAACTGGCAAGATTATTAAAATATTCAATAATGATAACTTTTTAATATGTAAATCTGATGATAAAGAATGTTGTAAGTTTTATTCTGTGAAGAAATGGATTTTGTAACATAACTTAATCAAGTGCAAGTAGGTTATTTTAACTTTTTTTTAGGGATTGAGAAACATGATATCGTTTGAGTTCTTAGTCCTTAACATCGTTAAGACTAAATAGAAGCATAAACTAGAATTTTTATTACCTAATAGGATGAATACTTTAGAAAGACAAAAGTGAACTCTTGATAAAATATATGTGGCTGGGTTATGAGCAATTCACTAGTACTTTCAGAATTAATCATTCTTTGTTCTCATTCATAATTGTGTATTTTGATCATTCTTATACTATTATTTTTTTACAATTAATAGTTTTATATTTACTTTTTTTTGTAAATATATATATATATATTATTTTGGAGGTTTTTATTTTTTATTCTCTTTATTAGAATTTCTCATTTTTTTTATATGGTGCTACTAGGTTGGTAAAATACAAGTATTAAGTTGATTATTATTAAAGTAATATGCAGGCAATATTTCTACATTATGTTTTTTAGGATTAGAACTTACATGAAATATTTTAATTAGCTTCTTTAGTTGAATAGCAGAATATTTGCTTCTAAGTAAATTTCTTTAAAATGTTAATTATGGATGCCCCAAAGGGCCATCTCATAATACACAAATATCTATGATAATGAATTTATTTAATTGGTTTAAATTTTTTTAAATTTATTCTTAAATAAAAAAAATGTAAATTATATTGAATAATGCAAATTAAATTTCATATTTAATTATTTAAAAGAACTTTAATTAAACTTTACAGTACTTTTATATAATAATGCATGTTATTTTGAGACAAATAAAAAATTTTAAGTATAAGACAAAAAAATGCCTTAGAACTGGATTTAGTACTAAGTAACCCTTTTTTTGTTAAGCTCAAAAGGAGGATTACTTAGTACTAAATCCAGTTCTGAGATAATTTTTATTTTGAAGATGCACATTTATATAAAAAAATTTTTTTGAGTTTAATATTTTGTGCAAAATATTACAGCATATTTTGTATAACAAAAAACTTTATTTAAGTAAATATTACATATGTACATTTTCTTAAACAAAAATTTCCTACTATTTAATTATATAACTAATAGTTATAAATATTAACTATTGTACATTTTTATAATAAAACCAAAATAGATTAACTATTGTACATTTTCAAAATAAAACCAAAATAGATGATCATTTAATTGGTATATTTTAAAAAGAGATAACAAATAGATATAAAAAAATTCATGATAAAATTTCTTAAATAAATTAAGCATACTAAAAAATTTTGCACATTATGTGATCTTATTGCAAAACTAAGAAAAAAATTTCACTATTAGGTTAGAGTTAGGGTATTGCAAGTAGGTTAGATTTAGAGGGCTATAGTTATGCCAAAATTTTGCAAAAAAAATGGTTTGTTAATATGCAGAAAACAGTTTTATAGACAAAATTTCAAGTTACAGTCGATTTTTGGATTGTTTTAGTTTTTTGACTTTTTTACATTACACCTAATCTCGAAATTTGATTGGTCAGTAAAATTTTTTAGACTGGTTGTTAGAGTTATGAGTAGATTGTAAAATCAATATCTTTATTACTTTAACAAGTCACATCCATAATTTGGGCCCAGGTCAACCTGGCAATAGATGTTAAATAAAATAATTTTTTGGATAATCATGAAATCAGATAATGCAAAGTTTGAATCTATTTTATTATGATTTTTTAAATTTTTGGATGATCATGAAATCTGATAATGCAAAATTTGGATCTATTTTATTATGATTTTTTAAATTTTTTTTTGGAACTTTTTTTGTTAGCTTTTTTTTTATGATTAAGTTAGGATTTAAGGTTAAAGTTATTATTAATAAAAGAGTATGATGAATTTTGGTAGAGCTTATCATTATATTTTCAAATCGAGACTCTTAAATTTCATCATCATTTAATATTCATTAGCCAATCATAATGCTTTTTTAATGATGAAAATACAGTACTTTCTATCTTAATATTTTAAAACAAACAACAGTAAAGGATATTCAATTAAAAATATAAAAATAACTAGCCCTATATATAATTTTACTTCATTTATTTGTTTAATTTATTTAAAATATAATTAATTAAATTCTTGAAATATAAACAAAAAACTCTTGTGCTTTTGGATTATCTGAATGTGAACAGTAATTAAACAATTAATATAATTAGTAATGTAGTTTTACATATGTATCATAAACATTATTAAATAACTTGAAGCATAATTCCTTACCTTAGCAGAAAAGTTTGCAAAGCTTGTATATTTAATGAAGATCAATAATCATTAAACTGAACTCTACAAAGTTATCGATCAATTTTTTTTTAAAAAAAACCTCTTTTCTGTAAAAGTTTAATAATATAATTGAATCTATAAAAAGTATTTTATATATTATTAAATTGCAGAATATATCACCAATCACTTAATATATTAATTTTATTAAGAGCAAATAAATTAAGAAAAATTATATTTTTCTAATTTAAAAAATTTACTAATAAACAGGTTACCTAACAATGGTAATATAGCTACACTATTAAAAATATTATGATATATTACTAAATGAATTTAATATAAAGCCTTCTCCAAACTCCAAGTCCAAAATTATTTCATTTAATGATGCAACAAAAATTCATTATTAATAAATTTGTACTTTTTTTTTAATAACTGATAGTTTGGTAAGAGCAAGTCTATTATTAAAATAAAAATTACCAATTTGTAAAATTGATTTTATTAAATACCCCTTTTGTTAATCAAATTAGCACAGTAGGATTCATTAAATGCACATGAGTGAGATCTTTTAGTGAAATGCATACTCAAAAGAATGGTGCAACAGAAATAAGCATACTATCAGAAATTTTGAATTTGGGTAAATAAATACATAAACAATGGTGCAAACATATTATCAATAATAGATATCACAACCTGCTTAGTTTTAAGTCCAAACTATAAGTAAAGTAGCCTGATACTTGAGTAAATAGATAGCTATAGTTTTTGTGTAAATAACTAATTAAAATTTTTTCAATTAACAAATAAAAATTAAGCCCAATAAAAGAATTACTTCGCGTAGAGTAAATATATTATTTTTCATAGATTGAAAGCCATTTAGTAGTATTATTAACAGTGGTAACTATGCCCCATCCATATTCTATATTCAATAAAGCTGCCTTTTAGGCAAGAAATTATTTTAGAGATTTTTAAACAAATTTTTTCTTCTATAAAAAACTTTTATATCTCATGCATCTCTTTAGTATCCACAGCAGTCACATTCTCAAGAAAAACAATATCATGATTCTCATTAAACACTTCTATAAAATTCTTTATCATATATTAATGAAAGTACTCACTTCTGGCAGTTGTCTCACAACATAAGTTTGTTTTAACACCAGAAATTATGAGTATTTTTATACTGAGGGATATGAGAAAGAAATTAAGTTTGGTCTAATAAAAAGCATCATAGCAAGTTTTACTTTTAATAATAAAGTCAAGAGTACTAATTGAAGTTGGTGATTGCTAAATTAACATTAACATTAATGAATATTATGTGTCTCAATCCAACAAACAAAATTTATCGCAACAATTGAATTCAATTCTTTCAAAATTTGCCATTTTTCAGATTTTTGCATTATTATTTCATCTTTATCTTTCTACTTAAAAATATATTTATTATTATTTTTATTTTATTTATTTTTTATTATTATTTTTTACAAATATAAAAATAATAATTAAATATTCATCGTGCCAAGGTGCCTCCATCAAGTTCAATATCCATATAACTATGCTGAGTTTATAAAATAGAATTCCTTTCTTATGACAAGTTAGGATGATAGAATTTACATTTGGAATAATTTTATTGACTACATTACTATGAATAAAATCCTATTAAAAATTATTTGAAGTTTTGTATTGTTTAAATCAGTGATAGTAAATAACTCAAATGACTCTAATTTTGTTATGGATTTTAGTCCGAAATGATCTAGGTCATTTGAAAAAAGCAAATAACCTTTAATTTTGCCATTTCTGGTTTAAATATATTTCTTATAACTTACTTGCATATCAATGACTAATAAGGCAGCCTTTTTAGGATTGTAAGAAATAGAATCTGACATTTTGTTCTACTGTGAAGGGACTATTCATACACACCATATCTAAGTATTTATATTAGTATTTTGTATTACAATGCATTATACAACCAAGTATTTGTTATGTGAATAAAATAAACCAAAATTAATAAAATTCCAGACAAAAACAACATTCAAAAAATACAATTCCAGTATCTGTAAATTTGACTAGAGCTACTTGGAGACTTGAAGAATTATCTGACACAGGCCAGTTTTAAGATTAATTTAATTAGTATTAGTTAGTGTAATATATATAAGTTTGTAACGTATTTATTAATAACTCTATTGATTTTTCCATCATGCTGAAAATTGATAAAATTTAATCAATACAAATTATAAGTTCATACTTCTATAGCATCAGTGAGCCATTAGAGAACAAATTAAGTTTAAAGTTTTGAAAAATTTTGCAGATTGGTCAGCATGTATTTGACAGCAAGTTTTAAATTATTTAAATAGGCTAGTTAAGCCCTGAATTGAGTTATTATATTTAGTTAAGACTCTTTTAAACAATTCAATATAAAATTCAATTTATGTTTTTGTTATTATTTATTCATTTTCAATGTATTGTTTTTATTGAGTTTATCATATAAATTAGTAAAAAATTAGATGAAAGATTTGGATGTTCACAGCTTTTTGTAGAAACATTGATATCAAACAGCTTGCAAATTTAAAGTAAAAAATATGATTGAAATAAGAAAGTTATTGACTTATCAATCTTTTATAATTGAAATTGCGTAAATTTTATTTTGTTTTGTTTGTGATACTTGAAATTTGAAACATAAGGATAATGAAAATTGACTAAAAGATTATTTTTTTTAAATAATACAATTTCTATTAAATAGGTTATCTTACTATTTTTATGTATTTAAACAAATTTAATGTTAATATAAAAGCTACTACTCTTATCGATCATGTGATTCATGCACCACATATGTTAGCATTACACGAACCTTATCCTAATCCTGTACTATAAATTTACATATTACTAAAAACTTTGTGTTAGATCAAAATTTATTTGATATATGAATCTTATGGGTCGATTCTTATCTCTTCTTAATATTAGCAAAGATAAGGTCTTATGATCAACATTTCTGTATAATGCCAGTCACTGTGATATTTATAAACTAATAGTTAATGTAAATTATACTTCAAAACTATAATTAACAGTAGTTTTTTTTAAAAAAATAGAAGTTTATAGTTCACAACTCTGTCTATATGAACTTAAATCCTATTATATTAGATCATATAAATTTCCCATGTTAATTCAAAAAAATTTTTCAACATAAAGATAGATAATATATTCAAGTTGAATAAAAAATAAAATGTATAATTTGTTATTACATTTATAACACCATAATTTTTGAATATATAACCCCAATTTTTAGCATTATTAATCTTTAAGTAAATTCATAATTACAATAAATTTGTTAGTGAAAAATTCTTGCTTTTAATTATTTAACAATTTTGGCTTTATAACTATCTTTGCCTAATAATTATAAATCATTCTAATAAGTAGATACTACATTCTGAACTAAATTTGACAGATTGGATTTCTAACATCAGATGGATTATAACATATCAATAATAATCAATACTAAGTATTACTAAGTAAAGTTACTATTTTCTATATGAAGATGTCTTATGACAAGGTCATGGCTCCATCAAGCAAAGACTGAAAAAATATCTCTCAGGTGCCATTAACATCTCTATCTATTTTTATATTGCAATTTTTGCATTTGTATATTTCTGATCTTCTAATATTCTGAATCTTTCTATACTAACTACATGTCTTTGACATGTAAGCCTCATTTTGAATTATCACATGAATTCCTTTCTCTTCTGTTTTTGGAATCAATCATTATTAAAACTTATAATAAGACCAGTAAAGCATCTTTCTAACTGTTTTCCTTGTTATCTTTCATGTTTTCCTGTTCACTATATCTGAAACCTTAAAAGGAGGAATAACAATTATGTCAAATTTATCTGTTAAGAACTTAATTGTTTTTCAATAGATTTCATCCTGCAGCCATCTGATCTTTCATTATATATGAAAAATGGCTTTGTCAACACACAATGCTTTCTTCTTCTTTTGTTTCAAGATTGAAGATGCTAATCTGTCTTTTTTTAATATTAGACCATCTATGTGTTTATATTAAGGATATTATTCTGCTTAAACTAGTTAGTTTATACTTAGAAACCCATTTGAATGCTGTTTCAAATCATATACATAAAACTGATTTTCAAACACAGTTTATACAAATATATTAATGATTGTGCTAATAATTGTATTTATTTGAGCAAGTTAATAAAACTCTGTTATCATTATTACTATTTATTAATGTAAATACATAAAATTTGCATATACTGATATTTTGTATTTATAATATCTATTATATTTATAATTTATTAATGTGTATTTTACATAATTAATAGTACCCTTCTCTATGCAATTAATAATATCCAACTTATTAATTCTCTATTCAACTAATAATACCCAATTCATATCATGTTTTTAGACACAAACTTGCAGAAGCATTCTCTTTAAATAATCAGTTACGTGTTGAGTTAATTGTATTTTTGGCTTTTGAGAACATTTCTTTACTAGGTACACTTGTGACTTGTATAACTAAATAGTTATATGCCATTTGTGCAAGTTCAGAATAACGTATATCAGCTGATCTTGTTTTTCAAAAGTCCAAAGAATTGCAATTTTCCCTAATAGCTATGAGATACTCTTCAAGAACATTAGATGTATTGTTCAACTTTTCATTACAATGTTTTCTAAAATAATTTCTTGAAGAATCACTAGTGTCTTCAATAATAGTTGTTCTGAATTCTTTATATTGTGCATAAACATTATCTAATAATTTACGTACAATTATAATTCTTTCACTATTAAATAATAACAGTTTCATATTTAGGTCTAATACAACAGATATGGGGCAACATATTTGAAGAATAGACTAATAATTATAAAGTTTTTTATACATCTGCTGTGTTATTTGATTTTTTATTTGAATTTTACTGTTTATCGCATTATGTAAAATATTTAATATAATTGGGAATATCATATGTAA